GGGTGGATCAGAAAAAATGAACAAACTCGTCCTTTCTCGGTCTCAGGAGAATCTGTATACCAAGTTTGGTTATTCTAGCTCTTATACTTTCGGAGATCCTTGCGTTCATACAGACAGACAGACGGACAGACGGACATGGCTATATCGACTCGGCTTGTCATGCTGATCAAGAATATATATACTTTGTGGGGTCTACCAAGCCTCCTTCTAACTAATATACCCTTGTACCGTTTTGGGTACAGGGTATAATAAGGATACATATAAAACACTGCGCGCTACTGCAATTGGCAATCTTCGTACACTATGAAATGAAAGTATAAATGTTTTCTCTTAATTAAATAGAGCGCCAAGCTCTGTCTTGGTGCCGCTTTCTGCCTCGCTTTCGGCTTGTGTAGCATGCAACGTATATCGCTACTACTCTGGGCCGAGCTGATGGTGGGTGTAGCGGCTAAGCGGAGCACGCGCTTGTTCCGGCTACGGCGGTCGTCGGCAATATGGGGGTGGTTCTTCTTTATGGCCGCAGTGCTACCTGCTCGATCGCTAATATTTAATGCCATTAAAATTCGCGTGCTTTTATTTATTTTTTTTCACGGATATTTTGTTTTTGGTATGTCTGGAGGAAAGTATTAGATCGGAAAAGAAAGCGAGTACGGAAAAACTAAATTGTCGTTGTAAAGGGTTCTACCTCTGGTCTCTGCTGCGCTGCTGGTGTTGCGTCAGCAGGTTCGGTGCCCACCCTACCATGATCACCTTTGGCCGCAGGTCGAAACCGGTGATCCCTAATATTACCAGAACCTACGTCAAAAACCCACCTCTCGTCATGGCTTCTAATAAATTACGACACGTTAAAACATCGTGGTGTAACTATTCATTTAATTTAAATTTGGAATACAATTCATTTAGATACCTATTCGTGGTGGTTAACCATACAATAAAAATAATTTCAACCTTGCTTATCAATCGTACCAATTCATATAAAGATGTATATAATGTAAAGGCAAATATTAAAATTTATAAAATAATAAAAATTATGGTTAACAATTTAAAAATTCAAAGGTATAAGTGCAGCATCAGGGCAAAATAATATGACTGGCAAATTTAAATAATTTAAAGGAAGTTTTCCAAAGTTAAATTCTTTTAATTACATTTTTTTTTGTAATTACTATAGACAGCAAGTGGCCTGCCGCATGCAGCGAACAAATGACAAACAATATATTTATCGTAATAATAATTCATATATATATTTTAGTACTAAAGTCAGGTCTTTAAATATATATGTTTGTAAGTATTTATTTACACAAAGCACTACACACAACTGTCTTGTACAAAGAACGATCAAAAAGTGATGTTCTCTTTATAAGTTATGTCTTGTGTACCTCTGAGAGCGGGAATGCTCTCAGTGTGTACACTAATGCTTATTAAACTAAGTACAAAAGTGTATACATCCTTACTTTCTACGGTGATTAGAGTAACGGCCTGCTACAACTCGGCCATCCTTACGTCTAGATCTCCTGATCGTACAGTTATTATTGAGAACAGTATTTTTTCTTTTATGTCTAACATGAAGTAGAGATTTTCTTAACTTAACAATTGTATTACTTAAACATAATTTCACACTACGACATTTTCTTTTGAAGGCTTGCTTAAATTGACAAAGGTGGTTTTTTCTATTGTACTTTCTTTTTAACAATGTTTTTTGTTTTGAGATACAATTCTTATTTATGGTATATTTTTTTCTCTTTTGTACATTTGTGGTTTTTCTTTGTATCCAATGTTTTATATTGTGTATACCCCAGACACCTTGATATGGATTGCGAGAGACTTGAAATCCTTCGACATCTTTCAAAAGAAATCTGTCATTTTTTAGAACTTTTGCAATAACATATGGGCCTTTGTGTTTTGGAATTAATTTTCTTGCTACACCTACGGTAGAATCAAAATTTTTAACCATTACATAGTCTCCTTCATTGTATTCAGTTGGTTTTTTTCTTTTTCTATCTACATATGTTTTGTTATACATTTGTGCCCTTTTCTGGTTTTCTTCAGCATTTTCTCGTATATTTTTTAAGTCTCTTTCCGAAACAGTTTTATCTAATTCCTCTAGCTTCTGCCTTAGCTCGTCTATGACCTTCCCTGTCTGTTCTATTCCAAATAGCATTTTACTGGGTAACTGTTTTATGCTTCGATGCTGTGTGTTATTTAATGTATGTTCGACTTTTTCTACAACTAGATCCCAATGCAAACCATTTTCTGGTTCTATCAACTTTGCTATCATTGGACCCAGGCTTCTATTAACTCTTTCTACCTGCCCGTTTGCTTGAGGTGATCCTGTAGCTATTTTAAAGTGTTTGATATTGCATTCCTCAAGGAAGTTTTTGAAATTCTCGGAAGTAAAAGCAGAACCTCTGTCTGAAATAATGCATTTCGGACGACTGTATGCTCTAAAATAGTCTTTTAACGATCGAATTACCTCTTGTGTATTGGTTGTCTTTGTAGCATATAATCTTACGAATTTAGTGAAAGCATCTATTATTACTAATATATATTTATTAGCTCTTCCTGCATCTACTTGACCGTAATGGTCAATATGTATAACATCAAATGGTTCACTACCTTTAGGAATGCTGTGCATAAATCCATCTGTTTTTCCTGTTTTTGGTGAAAATGAGACGCATTTTAAACAGTTTTCGATATGTTTAGAACACTTTTCTTTAAGGTTAGGAAGCCAATAGCTTTTCTTTATAGCTTCAATCATCTTGTCTCTACCTACATGTCCAAGTTCATTATGGTACTTGAACATAACATGATCTTCCATTTCATTTGGAACATAAAATAGCAATCTATTATCATTTGACTTTTTATATATTATTCCGTTGCGCATTTCATACAATTTATGTTCTGTTTTCTCTAAAAATTGTCTAATTTCTTTCAGTTTACTATCTTGTGCCTGACATATAACTAGATTGTCCTCAAAGCTATTTGTTTGAACGGTCATTATGTTTGTACACCTGCTTAGAGCATCAACGTGCTGCATACGTGTACCAGGTCTATGGACTAGTTCATAAGTATAATCTTGAAACCCAAGGGCCCATCTGGCAATTCTAGGATTAAGTTCAATCTTATTTAGTGTAAGTGCTAACGAATTACAATCTGTAACGATTTTAAAATCTTTGCCCTGTAGATAAACTCGGAATCTTCGTAAAGCATAAACAACTGCTAACGTTTCTAACTCAAAGCTGTGGTATTTTGATTCGACATCTGTTGTTCTTTTGGAAAAATAGAAAATTGAGTGCAATTTTTTGTCTTCTTTCTTTTGCATTAGTACGGCGCCAAATCCTAGAGAACTGGCACCGCAATGTAGTTCTGTTTCGTGTTTGTAATTGTATATTGATAGAACTGGTGCTTGTGTCAATTTCTCTTTCAACATTTTAAAACAATTGATTTCATCGAGGCCAAATCGGAAAAGTCTATCTTTCTTTAGAATATCATATAAAGGCTTAGCAACGGTAGAAAAATCTTTTATAAACCTTCTGAAATATGAACAAAGGCCCAAAAAGCTTTGTACCGCGTTCACGTTTGTTGGCGTTGGAAAATGTTGAATGGCCTCGACTCCTTTATCATTGGCTTTTACTCCGTCTTTTGTTATTAGGAAGCCTAAGTATTTGACACTTTGTTGCAAGAACTCGCATTTGTCTATTCGAAGCTCAAGTTTGTTTTCAACTAACCGTTTAAAAACTTCTTTGAGGGTATCTAAATGTTCGGTAATATTTTTGTTTGCTATCAAAATATCGTCCATGTATACGACGACCTTGTTTTCTCTAATCATGTCGGAGAAAATTTTGTTAACAAATCGTTGAAATACAGAAGGCGCATTTTTAAGGCCAAATGGCATTCTTAACCATTCGAACTGGCCTAATGGTGTGACAAAGGAAGTGTATTTAACTGTTTCTTCGTTGACAAACACATGGAAGAACCCATTTTTGAGGTCAAGTTTTGTGAACACCGTTTATCTACCAATTTGTCTAAAAGGTCATCTATCAATGGTAAGGGATAATTATCTTTCAGTGTAATTTTGTTTAGTTTTCTAAAATCTACACACATTCGCAAGTCACCTGTTTTCTTTTTTACTAATACAATGGGTGAAGCATATTCGGAATCACTTAGTCTAATAAATCCTTTTTCTAAGTATTCATCTAGTAACTGTTGTAATTTATCTTTTTCCATATATGATAAGCGTCTTGGTGAGCAACTAAACGGTTTCGAATTGTTAAGACTTATTTTTAATTCACACTTTACTAACGGAGCAAACGGGCGTTTCGCATTAAGATAAACGTTTTCAAACATTTTAACGAATTGCAGCCGAAAGGAGTGGCTTATGTTTTTACCTATGTTGTACTCTACTTCTTCATTGCATAAGTGGTTGATTTCTAACATTTTTCTCTCGAAATTGTCTAACAATGGTTTAACTGACTCTAAATTTGACGCAACAATTTTATCTTTTGGAGTAAGCTTACTAACAATTTCTGTTGACGATTGGTTATCTAACGATCTATTTCTAACAATTGTACTAACGATCTCGTTGTTTAAGCTATCGCTTTTAATTTCAGTTTTATCTAACAATTGATCTTTTGTTTCTATACTTTGTGTAAAAGTTTTAATTTTATCAATGGGCTTACAAATATTTTCAATTTCTTGCTTATAATGAACATTTTTGTTGTTTGAAGCCTCAACATTAGATTCTAAGGTGTTGGATTTCGATTGTTGCTGTCTTAATATAGGTTTATTGAAATTTTCCTTTAAAGCAACCATATTCAAAGCATCTGGGCTTAAACGTAAATCGCATGCGCTTAAAAAGTCTCTGCCAAGGACAACATTATACCCCATAGACTCAGAAGCCACCACAATTAAATGAAAATAAATTTTAATTGTTCCTTTTAATACATAACATTGTGTTTTTCCAAATGTTTTAATGTGGCTTGTATTCATGCCAAAATATAAATCGTTAACTGAATCCAATATAATTTTTTCGTCGATAAGTGAAATCTTAATTAATGAGACAGGGCTTCCTGAGTCTATTAGGCATTCTGAAATCAATGGCATAACATTATCAGGGTTATTGAAGAAAATTTTAAAATATCTTACATAATTGTTTTTGACGACGCTCTTCCTCTCAGGGCACTGTGCAACAAGGTGACCAAGTTTGCCACAAGCATAGCATGAGCCTCGTTCGCGTTTGGCTTTCTTGCAGACATTGGCGAAGTGGCCTCTGCAGTTGCAGTTGGCACAGCGAACATTGTCTTCGTACTTGTTCTCTGGGCCATCACTCATTTTTGGTCGAACTGGTAGACGCACATTGGCAAAGGCCCGTAGCATGTGCGTTGGGTCGGAAAAGCATTGGATGCGCGCCTGTACACGCAGGCTTTCCAGCGGAATTCCTTCGATCATCTGATCCAGCAGCTCGTCATCATCAACATTTATTTCTCGTGAAAGAGTCATCTTGTCATCAAAATAGGAGGAAAAATTTTCTTCGGCTTTCCATTTGCGAGTCTCGACCTTTCGTCTGATGTCCACCTTTGATATTTTTCCTCCGAATGCCAGAGTCAATTGGGCAAATAAATCGTCGAGAGACTCTGACATCCGAGCCGGGCTTGCATGTAGCTTGAGCAGCGTCTTTTAACTTAGATATGGCCAACATGCGTAAATAGTTGTCGTTAATATTGTAGGCGCGTGCAATATTTTTTATTTGTGTGATCCAAGCACGCACGCATGACTTGCCGTCGAAGTCCACCACTATCTCTTTTGCGAACGTAAAACTGTGCAACGGAGTAAATTTGTTCTCTTCGCTCTCAATTTGTTTTGGTTTTAAGAGAGCATAAGAGTTTTCGGCAGCAACAGCATTGCCATCATCGTCAAATGATTTTGCTCGCAGCTCTAACTCAAGTAAACGAAACTTTGCCTGTGTTGCTTCTAATTCGGCACGTAACTGTAACAATTCTCTTTTTTCGTCTTCTTGCATTACTTCTGCCGATTCGCTTCTGTTGCTGGCATCGTGATCGGCGCCTTCGCTGTTGTTGAGGGCTCGCTGTTGTTCGCTTTGCGTCGGAATGTTGGTCCCGTTATGATTTTCGTGGGAATTGTTGTTGCTCGGCACACATTGTTGCGAACTATTGGCGTCGGGACGCAATTCATCGTTGACACTTTCACATTGTTTTTCATAAAGTTCGGAATTTCTGGGTGAAAAATTTTCATCCATATTTTGGGCTTGGGGCTCCTTAGGGTATGCGCCACGTTTTTCAATATTGTTGAGTCGGGCGACCAGCTCTGCTTTTGAGCCCATTGTTGATTTACCCAAGGCGTTAAGCCAATTTTTTAAGATTTGTGTTGAAAATGTGTTTACATCAATTGTATCGTTCATAGCGCGTTACTATCCCACTTCTGAGATTTTAGTAGTAAAGTCAGGTCTTTAAATATATATGTTTGTAAGTATTTATTTACACAAAGCACTACACACAACTGTCTTGTACAAAGAACGATCAAAAAGTGATGTTCTCTTTATAAATTATGTCTTGTGTACCTCTGAGAGCGGGAATGCTCTCAGTGTGTACACTAATGCTTATTAAACTAAGTACAAAAGTGTATACATCCTTACTTTCTACGGTGATTAGAGTGACGGCCTGCTACAATATATATATTGCTTGCCGGTTTGCGGCACCCGCGCATTCGCCCTCAAACACAAACAAAAAAAAAGAACAAAAAAGCTCTCTCAGAGAGGCGGAGTAAATAAGTAAAGCGAGTACTCACATTCACAGCTGGTGGATCCACGTCCAAAAGATCTTTTGTGAGCGGCGGCCAGCTGAAAAACAGAACAATATTACGCGAGAGAGGCGGCGGCGTCAAAGCAAATTGCTGTACATTTTTTTTTTTTCACTATATTGGTGGTGTTAAAACTTCTTTTCTCTTTTGCCTTGCGCTAGCGCATATTTTGGCTTCTGCATATATGTACATATGTATGTAATATTTCACTAATTTTTATCGCAATATATGCACTATAACAAAAAAAAATGACTTCACAGAAAAAAAAATCCAAACCATAAAATAAAAGAATATATAACTATATAGGAAATGGGTGTCGTCTACGCCCTTTTTAAGGTTAGGGGACGGACCCTTAGCCGACTTTTGTCGCAGCTTCAGCTTCAAGCCGAATCTTCCACGTAGACCCGTTGCTGGCCCGTTCGACGCGAGTTATTATTTCCCTTTTCGGTGGCCCGAGGTCAATGACTCCACTGGGTAAAATCTCATAAGCAGCTGACTCGGCACACTACGTCCGAACTAAAAATTGAACGGCACGCGGCGACTGTCGTATATAAAGGCCGACGGTGAACTGTCGCCTATTTCCTCAGGGTGACGGAGTCGGTGCAGAGCTTTTCGGGGGGTAGGCTGCACTTGTTCTAAGACCTCGAACAAAATAGCAATTGTGCTTGAAACTGCACTTGTGTTTGATTTTGCACTTGTGGTGCCAATTCTAAATATAAGAGAGCCTTGTTACAAACAAAAAAACAAATATATATATGATGCCAATGACCTACCCTAACTGGAACAGCACCACAAATTATGTGAACTAATTCCCTCGGTTCTGGGTGGGCTTCTATTGCTTCATTCGCTCGCTCTAAATTAGAATTACATTCCTACTAATCAACACATATGGAAATGGTGCAAAAAAAAGCAAAAAGTCAACACTAACCTTGTAAAATTTGCAGGCAAGTCACAGACCACTTACTGGTAAATACGGCGCTTGGACAGTGACCGAATAAATAATTATATCTCTGGGCCACGTTCACCACAATATTACTTTTAAATAATCTGGTATAAGTTAAACTTTTCCACTTATAATCGAGCTAAGCGCGCACAACTGTTCACTACAGGGGTCGAAACCAAAAAGGAAGAGCTTGACCAACATCGAATAAAGGAAACCTTTGTTTGCGGGAATTCCTCCTTTCTTCCGTCCTTTGACAACGAGTGTCATGCCAAAAGAAATTCTTGATGACGTTACCACTTTCACTATCCACCAGAGGGCGATAAATCCTACGAAATAGGAACAACCAAACAGAAGAGAACCAAAATAACTCCTTTGCCTACTTCTGGGCTCAAAAAAAAAGAATTGAAAAGCGGTTATGCTGCGCGAGGCAAGCGCACTACAATTTCCCCCCCCACTGAAATCACACTTGGCGGTGGAACACTGCACAAGAGGGATACACGCTTGAACCGAGCAGACAGGAATACTTCAAACCATTACTGTTTTAAATCCTTGGCGTGATATTTACCTATCGGACGGCCTTGTAAATCTACAAGCTCGTAATAACAATTTCCTAGCCTTTTACTGACACGGGCTTTGACAAAGGCTGGAGCCAATTTTGCACTAAATCCTTGCGTCAGATTACTCTGTTGAAAATTGCGCCTAAATATTTCCTGGCCTACTTTAAAAGTGACTTCTCGAGTGCGTAAATTATAAGTTCGCTCATTACGATTGCGTTGAGCGTTCATAGAGTACTTAGCCTTATGCCGAATAATTTCAAAGGCATCATCCCGTTCAAATTGAACGGAGCGATCATCTAGCATGTCTAGGTTTCGCAGCAACTTATATGTAGTAGCATTGGTTACCATATGCTGGCCAAATGCTAACCGATAAGGGCTTGTGTTGATGGCGGAATGTACGCTAGAGCGCAGGGCACAGCAAATACTGCTTAATTGCTCGTCCCAGTTCCTCTGATCCGGACTATACGTCCGCCAAAACAGATCGATTAACCCTTTCCGACGCATTGGCTTGCGGTGCATAGTAAGCAGTATAAACATGGCTAACGTTATACTTCTTTAATACTGCATTGAATGCTAAGGATTTGAACTGCACTCCGTTATCCGATACTACTGTTTCTGGAATGCCAAAACAGTGGAAAAGGTCATTTTCCATGAACGATGTTATTGCGTCAGCCGTTAACTTTTTGACTGGCTTTAAAAACGGAAACTTCGATAGGTGATCTAATACTACAAAGATACCTATATTGCCGGACCTACGCGGATAGGGGCCTAAAAAGTCAACATATAATTTTTGAAAGAACCTTTCCGATTGAACCGACCTACCCAATGGAGGTTTTAGCGTACGGTTGGGATGCTTTGATCCTTTACAGATATCGCAATTGTTTACAAACTCTTTGACGCTATTCACCATATTTGGCCAATAGTATAAACGCCTAAGGTTGTCTAACATTTTGTTTATGCCACAGTGTGCAAAAATAGGGTGTTCATGCGCAACTTTAAGTGCTTCGTGCACGAGCGACTTTGGAACCCAAAGCTTCCAACATGCATCATCGGATACTTTTTCGCCAATAGCGTGCTCAGCGCGCCTATAAATGAAATTGTCAACCACTTTGAGATCTGGCATTTTAGCCTGGTTAGACAGAATTTTTGTTCGCAGCTCAACATATTCTTCTGATTCAAACTCTTTGGAATTCATATCCACTATGAGACTGCTTAAAGAGAGAGCGGATAAATTCTTAGTATGCGTTCGTGACAGCGCATCAGGTACGACATTTTTACTGCCTTTCCGGTGTTGTATTTTGAATTTAAAACCCCGCAGCTTAAGTGCCCATCTAGCCAATCGACAACTTAAATCTGCTTGAGTCATCAACCATTTAAGTGAAGCGTGGTCGGTTATAATTGTGAATTCTTGGCCTTCTATGTAAGCTCTAAACTTTTTTACTGCCATCACAGCCGCAAGACACTCTTTTTCAGTCACTGCATAATTTCTTTGGCTCTGATTGAGCTTCCGTGACATAAATGCAATAGGGATCTCATCTCCCTCAGCGTTCTCCTGCATAAGTACTGCGCCTATACCAGTATGGCTTGCGTCACAATGCAAAAAGAAAGGGGCAGAAAAATTTGGGCTATGCAAAACTGGAGCGTTGCACAGTTGGGATTTCAACGACTCAAATGCTTGCTGTGCTTCCGGGGTCCACAAAAATTTACGCTTCTGCTTCAAAGTGTCAGTTAAGGGGGAAGCTATGGCTGCATAATTTCGAATAAATTTGTGATACCACCCTGTCATACCAAGAAAACGTCGAACCTGTTTTAACGATCTAGGTACGGGAAAATCGACTACAGCCGATATTTTTTCTGGATCTGTGTGAATAGTGCCATTGCCAATCACATGTGCCAAGTACACTACTTCTTTTCTACAGAATTTACTTTTCTCTACATTGATGGTCAACTTGGCGCGTTCTAGTTGCGCGGCAATAATTTCCAAAACTGCAATATGCCGTTCAAAGGACTCGGACACTATGAGAAGATCGTCGAGATAAACAAAGACTTCGTTTCGTAAATTCGCTGGGACTACTTTGTCCATCAATCGAGACATTGTGTGTGGTGAATTGGTTAATCCAAATGGCATTACTATAAATTCATACAGGGGTCTACCGGGAACTGTAAAGGCTGTTTTGTCGCGAGATTTCGCATCCAACGGAATTTGCCAAAAGGCATCTTTTAAATCCAAGCTGGTTATATATTCTGCCTTAGGCAAGCGGCTTAATATTCCATCAATAATAGGCATCGGGTATGCATCTTTTACCGTGACTTCAT